CTGATCTTGGACGTAAGTTGGGGCGTGTGAGGAAACAGGAGAGGGCTTGCCCAACAGCAGGGTCCCTCCTTGGCAGCGTGAGCCACAGAGCACGTGGGAGCCTCGCTGGGCACTGCTGTGCACGCCTGTCCCTCAGGGTGTGCTGAGGGCGCTTGGGTGTGCCCTTCTCTCCCGGGCTCCATTTTCCTCCCCAAGATGGGGGCCTTTTGGCCAAAACCGGACAGGGCCCGGTCAGGGGAGGGTAGAGGGTCTGTGGTAACAGATGGGTCAGCCGTTGGGGAATCTGTTCAGGTGCTGAACCCCGACAAGAGTCCAGACGAAGACAGCGTGGTGATCACAGACGACTCCGAGAAGCAGCTGGAGAGTGGGGAGGTGCGTGCCGGGAGGGCGGGATGGGCGGACACAGGGCAGGCGACGGAAGGCATCACGCAAGGGACCCTGCAGGACAAGAGCTCGGACAGTGAGGACGAGAGACACTCAGCCGGTGAGGAGGACAGCGACGAGGAAGACAGCGATGAGGAGGACCGGGACGGGGATGTGGACCAGGGCTTCCGGGAGCAGCTCATGGCCGTGCTGCAGGCGGGGAAGGCGCTGGTGAGTGGCGGGGGGCGGGGGGGGCGGGAGACCCTGCGCCTGCAGCCTGCGGCCGGCCGCTCAGCGGGTGTGTGTCCCTCAGGGCGCGGTGGACGGGGAGGACGACGACGATGAGGAGCTGGGGGATGAGGCCATGATGGCCCTGGATCAGAGCCTCGCTAGCCTCTTCGCCGAGCAGAAGCTACGCATCCAGGCCCGGAAGGACGAGAAGAACAAGCTGCGGAAGGAGAAGGTGCTCCGGCGAGACTTCCAGATCCGGGTGAGCGCGAGAGCCGCCAGCAGGGCGTCCCCCCGCCCCCCGCCCCCGCCTCGCACCCGCTGACCCGCCCGTGCCGGCCCCAGGTCCTGGACCTGGTCGAGGTGCTGGTGACCAAGCAGCCAGAGAACCCGCTGGTCCTGGAGCTCCTAGAGCCCCTGCTGGACGTCATTCGGCGCAGCATGCGCACCAGCAGCTCCAAGCAAGAGCAGGACCTCCTGCACAAGACAGCGCGCATCTTCACGTGAGTGTCGCGGCCAGCATAGGCCGCTGCCCAGGCTCCGTGCCAGACGCGTGGTCCTGGGGACCGGGGCCGTGGCAGGGGCTGGGTGGGAGACGGGAGCGCAGAGCGTGGGGGCGCCCGACCCAGTCTCGAGGTACCAGGAGCCGTCACGTTCCCCAGGCCTGGAGGCCGCGGGCGAGGGCGGAAGGCTGTCGCTCCATGGGGACGGGTCAGGCGCGGGCGGAGCAGAGCCTCAGGGACCAGACGCCCCGGTGCTCTCAGCGAGGGCTTTGGCAGGGACAGCTCTGCCTTTAGGAACAGGCAGTGGGTGGGCTGTTGGGGAGGGGGCCCCGCAGGAAAGAGGATGTGGGGGTGCGGACCTGCCTTCCCGAGCGCGGATGTGGCCCGGGGCCTTGAGGGGCCGAGCGAATGTCACGGAGGAGCTGGTGGAGCGGGACAGACTGCGCACCCCCCGGCGCCCCCCCGACCTGTCTCCTGGCCGGCCCCGGGTCGCGCTTGCTCGGCTAGCTGTCCCCGCCGCCTGCCGGGGTTGAGGTTGTTGCGTGATCTAGTTCTCGTGCCCTGAGCACCGCAGACCCGAGTCTTAGGGCCCGATGCCCCGAGCCAGGGGAGGGTGTCAGGTTTGCCCGTGGGTGGGCTTAGCCCCGGAGCCGGTTTCTCCTCCGGCTCATCCTGGGCGCCTGCCCCTGCCGCCGCCGCCGTGACCGGTCCTTGTCTCCCTGCCTGTGGACTGGGGACGCGCATGTCCCCCCCGCCCCCCCCGGCGCTGGCTCCGCTCGGCGGGGAGGGCCACGAGGGGGACACGTGGTGACCGCTCCGCCCACGGCCCCACAGACACCTGTGTCGCTCCCGGCATTGTTGCCACGACGTGGGCCGCGGCGTGGGCTCTCTGTATGCGCAGGTGGGGCAGCTGGTACAGCAGGCCGGCCGCCAGGCCGACGCCTCCGTCTCCCTGTACCACTTCAACGCAGCCCTCTATCTGCTCCGCGTTTTGAAGGGCGGCGTTGCCGCTGCCTCGGCCTGCCAGCCCCAGAAGAAGGAGAAAGCCGGCCCCAGGCCCAAGGGCCCAGAGGTGAGCCGACCCTGGCCCAGGAGGCCTCGGCCGCCGGGACCACCTGCCCGGCCCACGGAGGGGGAGTGGAGGCCACGGCTCCCGGGACCTGGCTCTCCGCCCCCTGCGGACGGCCCTGCCCCGCACTCGGCCCGGCATCACGCGGGCGTGCTCTTCCCTGGCGCAGGCTTCCGGCTGCTTGGATCTGAGCCTCGTGACCCCGATCTACTCCTCAGCGCTGACCTCCTTCCTGACCAGGCGCAACAGCCCGCTCACCATCCCGATGTTCCTCAGCCTCTTCTCCCGGCACCCGGTGCGTGTGGGGGCCGGTCCTCCCCGGGGCCCCGTTCGGCCCGGGGCCCGGCTCACGGCCCCGTCGTTCCCTCCGTAGGTGCTCTGTAAGAGCCTGCTCCCCGTCGTGATCCAGCACGTAACGGGCCAGGCGCGGCCCCGCCATCAGGTAGGGACTTCCCGGATCCCAGCCCCGGGCCTGTGGGAATTACCCGCATGACTCGCCTTAGGCCGGGTGTTTGGGAGGCCCGGGCGGTGCCCTGCGAGGGCAGACCCCCCCCGCCCTCTGACCTGGCCGGCTGCTGCCCTGCCGGTGGCAGAGTCCCTGTCGGGAGGGGAAGCTTTGCACCCCCAACCACCTGCCCCCCGGGGTGGCCTGAGCCCCGAGCGCCTGAACATGCGCGCTTGGACCTGGCCGTCCCCTGGGGCTGGGCTGACGGGCAGGCCTGGGGGGGTGGGATGGGGGCTCGTGAGGCTGCAGGAGGGTGGCGCTGAGCCGGTGAGTGGGCCGGGCACTGTCCCCACTGCCCCTGCCTGAGCAGAGGGCCCAGGCGGTGGGACCCGGAGCAGGAGCTTGGGGCCCGTGGGGGCTGCCTGTGGCTCCCCGAGCTCCGGGTCTGTGCACTGAGGCCCCCGCGGCCCCCCAGGCCCAAGCCTGCGTGCTGCTCCAGAAGGCCTTGCCCACGCGGGAGCTGCGGCTGTGCTTCGAGGACCCTGAGTGGGAGGAGCTGGTCAGCCAGGTCCTGGCGCAGGTCACGGAGGTAAGGGCTGTGGGGTCCCTGCCCACGTTCCCATCCCGAGTGGGTCTCTGGCACCCTGGGCCTCGGCTGGGTCTGGGCTGCGCCCAGGGGTGTTCCCTCTCTCGAGGCTTTGGTGTTGAGCGGGCGTCTCCCCCTAGAACCTGCGGACACTGGGTGAGGCACGGACCAAGTCGGAGCAGCAGAAAGAGCTGTCCTCCTTGGGGCTGCTCAACACCCTCTTCAGGACCATCCATCAGGAGGTGGGAGACCGTCCCTGCACGGGCCAGGAGGCGGGTGGGCGAGCGGGGAGCGTGGGCAGGGTTGAGGGTGAGCCCGCCCCACAGGAGGGCCCTGGGGAGGGCCCGGCAGGCAGGTGTCTAGGCCCGGGGGGTGCTGGGCACGTGGAGGGAGGCGCTCGTGGGCCATGAGGCAGCTGGGGCGGCGGTTACCCCGTCCAGCCCAGGAGGGAAGGCCTGCAGGTCCTCAGGACGCTGGTCGGAGCCCACATGCAGGGCACCACGGGGAGGGGACGTCTGGGCCAAGGCCACGTGGGCCACGGGCACGCCCAGGGAGCAGCCCAGAGAGAGGCCGAGAAGAGCCAGGAGGGGGGTTCTGGAGGCCAGTGGGTTTCGGAATTAACCCATTCAGTGCGCGGCAGGCAGGCGCAGCGGGAAGGCGAGCTTGGAGCGGAGGGAGGCCTGAGTGGGGAGCAAGAAGTCGGGCCTGTGCCTGTGGGCGGCGGGAGCAACCGCGGCTCAGGGGGCTCTTCCCTCCGAGGTGAGGCAGGAGAGGCGGCGAGGGTGGGAAGACGGGGGACCCAGAGCCAGGAGTGTCCCCTGCCTCTGATCACTGCTGCAGCCACCGTGTCCCCTGTCCCGCAGAAGCTGACCGTGGACCTGACTGCTGTGCTGGGCGTGCTGCAGAGTCAGCAGCAGAAGCTGCCGCCGGGGGAGCGCGCGGGCGGTTCCAGCCGCCTCTGCGACCTCTACTGGCAGGCCATGAAGGCCCTCGGGGTCCAGTAGGTCCTGGGAGGGGCTGGGGACGCCCTCGTGCTGCGCGCGCTCTGACGTGGGTGCCTCGGGGTCCCGTGGAGCGCAGGGGGTCACTCCCCTCCCCGCCGCACGCTTCCTTACTCGGCACACGGTCTCCTAGGCGCCCCAAGGCGGAGAAGAAGGACACCAAGCAAGTCCCCAGCGTCACACAGAGCCCCGTTAGCACGAAGAGGAAGAAAAAGGGGTTTTTGCCAGAGACCAAGAAGCGCAAGAAGCACAAGTCAGAGGGTGCGGCGCCCGAGGAGGAGGCCAAGCCCGCAGCCTCCGGGGGGGACCAGCCCCCCAGCACAGGCAAGAAGAGGAGAAACAAGAGGAAGGCCCGGAGTCCGGCCCAGGCCCAGGCGACACCTGCCACCAAGAGGCCGGTCCCAGACACCACCAGCACCGGCCCTGCCACTCCGGCCACAACGCCAAAGCTGCAGAAGAAAAAGCGGAGGCTGTCCCAGGGGCACGGAGCCACGCCTGGGTCCCCCGCGGCACCTGCCGGCAAAAAGCCGTCTCAGAAGGATCTGCCGGAGAAGGGCGTGTCTGGCAAGTCGCCCCAGTCCGCGCTGCCGCGGAAGAAGGCCAGGCTGTCTTTGGTCAGCAGGAGCCCCAGCCTCCTCCAGAGCGGGGCCAAGAGAAAGAAAGCGTCGCTCAAGAAGGCCAGGAAGCCCTGAGCCCCCCGGTTTGCGCCGCACGAAGTGCCAGCGTCCGGCACCGGCGGGAGCGTGTCCACGGGGCCCCTCGTGTCCCCACCCCAGGCTGCCCTGCCCTGGGAGCCAGCGCGGCGTGGTTTAAATAGGTTTATTCCTTCATTTACAAGAGGAATGTATTTGGCTTCTCTCTTAAGACTCTGAGATTCACAATCAGCAGCTCTAAAAAATAAAGGAGCGGCTTGGCTTCCGGAAGGAAGAACAGGCAACACTTGGACTGGTTCTTGTACAACAAGAAAACGTCGCTGGGGGTCCCACCCGGTAGGTGCCCCAGAGCCCGCACACGCTGAAGCCGCACCAGCTGCTCGGCACGGGCCGGGCGGCTCGCGGGGGCTCCTGCGGCCACCTGGGTTCCAGCCGCCGTGCAGGGAGCGCGGGGAGCGGGCAGAGGAGCAGCGCAGACGGTGGGCGGCCCACGTGCGGGGCGGGCCTCGACCCCCCGGCCCTGGCCCGGGGCAGGAAGCCTCGTGGGGTGGCCACATCCTCGGCAGCCAGAGCCCTGGCAGCTGCCGTGCGGGTTCTGGGAATAGTCCCCTGGGTCCTGCCCCTGGAAGGGCCCAGTCTGGGGGGGGGCAGGAGTCTGTGCCAGGGGTGGGGGAGGGGAGGCGGGCGGCCACGGGGCTCAGGCCTGGAGACATAGGTGGGGTGGAGATGCCAGCCCCCTGGCGGATGGCCCAACGGGGGGGGGGGGAACCCTGTGGGCATAGAGCCAGCCGGGCAGCCAAGACCCGTGTCCTCTGAGGGGGACCGGCCACGCTCTGCCCAGTTGAGTCCGTCCCCGAGCCTGAGGTGCCGCCCTGAGGCTGGACCGCCTTCTCTCCGCAGTCCGGGAGCCCTGTGTCTTCAAAGCTGCCACGCGGGGAGGTCCAGCCGCCTGGCCCCGCAGGCTGGGGAGGGCAGAGGCCTGCCCGGGACCCCGTAAGGCGGGGACAGGCCAGGCTCTCCCCACACGCCTGGTGGGGGCTGTCTTCGTCCCGGGCCCCAGGGGGTCTGCAGCCCGGCCCTGGGGCTGGGAGTCTGTCCAGCCACACGGCTCCCCCACACACAGCCTTCCGTGGTCGTTGGGGACACGGTCTCTTGGAGCCACGGCCACTCCACAGCCACAGACCAGAGAGGGTGGGTGGCCAGCCTCGGGTCCCACAGAAAGCTTCGAGGCGGCCCAGCGGGGCCGGGGTGCCATGGCACGCCTCCCAAGTAGGGTGACCGTGAGGGCTCTTCGCTGTCCCAGAGGCACCTAGGAAGAGGGGCCAGGTCACGGGGGCTTTGGGAGGAGCCAGCCCGGACCCACACCCCCCATCGTCTTCCTGCTGTGTGAAGAAACAGGCCTGCCTTCTCTGCATCCAGGGGATGAGGGGGTGGTGACCTTGGATCCTGCGCTGCTGGGAAGTGCGGCCCCTGGAGGCCAGGCCCAGAGGAAGGTCAGCTTCAGGGCCTGGCGCGCTTCTTGGAGAGCTCGGGAGGACAGAGTCCCGGATGGGGTAGGGGTTCCTGCCAGTCCCAGCCCTGCCCCCTGCCCCCAGCCCTTCTGAGGAAGGAAGGGGGAGCCTGCCCGCCCCTGTGACCCAGCAAGCCAACGTGGGCCACTTCAAGAGGAAGAGGGCCAAGCCTAGGTTTGGTAGGAGGTGCCCCAGAAGCTGCTCCTGCTTCCAGAACATTCCCCAGGACCCCCACGATGTGCAGCCCTGACCCCTCCCCTCCCGCCAGGAGCCGCTGCGCCCACCCGCCTACACTCACGGCCTCAGACTTTGATGGATGCGGGCGGCATCACCAGCTGGTTCACCCTGGGGGAGAGACGGGCGGGGGTCAAGGTGGCGGATCAGCGGCGGCCGGGCCCGGGCACTGCTCTGGCACATCGCATCTCGGGGGCCGGCTGGCCGGACGTGCCCGGCAGGGACCTCGTCAGCCCCAGGGGAAGGTGGGAGAGCCCAGGGGTGGGGAGAGGAGAGACAGGAGTGAAGAGGAGAGAAGAAAGAAGTCAGAAAACCAGAGGAGGGTGCCGGGCACCGCGCAGCTTCCGCCCTGGAAGCCCGTCCCCCGTGTGCGCGCGTCTGCAGGCGACTGCGGCGGCCCCTCCCGCAGGCTGGGCAGCCAGGGGACGCTGCGTGCCCCCGCCACCAGGTGTCCGACCCCGCCAGCAGGCCCGCCCCGGCCCACTCACTGCTGCTCAGCCTTGGCGCGGTCGCCGAGGAAGAAGAGGGCCGTGGCCAAGAAGAACATGCCGCCCAGGACCACCACGAAGGGGCAGAGCATGAGCGCGTAGCCCAGGCTCAGGAACTCCCAGAGCGGAGAGTCCTTGGTGCTCTGGCGGATCAGGTCCGAGATCTGTGGGGGTGGGAGCGTGTCAGGGGGCGCCTCCCGAAGCCGCCCCCACCCGGCCGCGCCTGTTACTCACAAAGCCGATGAGGTAGGGGCTCCCGGCGTCCCCCAGCAGGTGGGAGGTGAAGCTCTGCAGGGCGACGGCCGTGGCTCGTCTCGTGGGGATGACCACGTACTGTGCAAGAGGCAGCGGGTCAGAGCCCAGGGGCCACAACCAGCGGCCTCATCTCTGGGGTCACCGCACTCCTAGGGTCCCACACCCCGGACTTCCCGGGGCCTCCCCGCCCTGGCTGCTTGAGGTTCTGCCCTGGGCTTGTGGTGGGGACCCCATGCTGCAAGGGTCGCAGGAAACGGAGGCCCAGCACACAGAGGACACGTGGACTGTGGCAGCGCTGGGGCCAGAGCCCGCAAGCTGAAGACCACGCCGGGCCCCGTCCACGAGGACGCGGCGGGGCCTAGGCTGGCCTGCCTGGATGGCCTCCACTCCGACCCCCGGGTGCCCCCAGCCCCCCGAGCCGGGAGCCTCCCAGGCCAGGCAGGCCCTCCGAAGCCTCGGAGCAGCGGGGTGGGTGGCCGGCCACAGGGCCCCTCATTCCAGGGCTGGGGGAAGGGCGGCTGGTCCGATGGGATGGCGTGGCCCATTTCCAGCAGTGATTAGTCATGGGGCTGTGACACTTAATAAAATGGGACATGATTTCCCTGGGACCCCAGAGGCAGGCACGGGGGTCTCGCCCGGCGCCACAGACTCACTCCCTCCTTCACTCTCACCCCCCACCACCGGCCTGGCTCCCCGTGAGGCACGGGGCTGAGTCAGACCCCCCCACCCCACGGACGGAAGCCTGGCCCCCAGTGAAGCAGACGTGCAGGGGAGCTCAGGTGAAGCCGGGCAGGCTTCCTGGAAGAGAGCCGGCAGGACCCCCAGCGCCAGGCCAACTCTGATCTCCTGGGCCGTCCCATATGTGGCCCCAAACCCCAAGGGACGCTTCCCCCGGCCGCCCTGCCGGTGAGGCCCGCCCTGGCGGCTCCCAGACACGCTCCCCACCGCAGGCCCCACGCTCCCTTTTCCCAGCCCCTCCTGGCCCTGACCGGGAGGGCCCCCAAGGATGGGAGCTGCAGGCACCCCGCCCCTCAGACTGCGTGCTGCAAGTTATCGGGGCCACACCCCCTGCCACTGCTCAGACGGCCCTTTGTCCCTGGCTGGCTGGTCTGGCACCCATTGTTGGCCCCGTGAACACGGCCTCTGTCCGCCCGGCCCGGCCGCGGGCGCTCGGGCAGGCGCGCCTGGGCCCCGGGAGCTCAGACCCGGGGGAGGAGCTAGCCAGCAGCACCCCCTCAGGCCAGCCTGGCGCTGCCAGCCTCCTGGCCACGCGGAGCCTGCGGACAGCCCTCTCCCCACCCAGTCCCATCCCCGTCCCTCTGCTTGCCCAGGCTTCTGCCTCCAGGCCCGCCTCCCCAGCTTGTCCGGCCTGCTGTCCACCCTCCACAGGCCCTGCCAGCCTCCCGCCCCTTCACCACCCTCTCCAAGGCTGCCCCCGGGGCCCAGAAGCCTGGGTCGGCCGCCTCACCATGAGGATGTCCGCGGTGATGGCCCAGTTAGAAAAGAGCAGTGTCTCCCCAACAAAGATGCAGATCTGTCCGGGAGACACCAGAACAGCCATCGCAGCCCTCGCCTGGCTGTTGGCAGGGAGCCCCCCAAGCCTCCCACCCCGCCCCGGGGTCTGCAACGCTGAGCACGTAGGCTCACAGGAATCCGCAGGATACGGGGGACTTCAAGGCATGCCGGTGGCCCGGAAGGACGCCCAGGGCCCTGGACAGGCCCTGGACAGAGCGCGGACGGGTGGGCAGCGCACAGGAGCCTCCCCCGGGGAGGGGCCCTGCGAGCCAGACTGCACGTCCTCTGCCAGAGGCCGGCCCCCACCCGTGCACCCCCCACTGCACTCACATAGGCACCCACGATGCTGCTCTTGGCAGCCACGAAAATGAGGCAGATGAAGATGGCAGAGCCCAGCATGCCCACAGCACACACCAGCGGGTCGGCCCGCTGGGTCCGCAGGCGGCAGCAGCGTGTGGCTCCTGCCCCCGTGGCCACACCCAGAAAGCCAGTGAAGCAGGTGATGGCCCCGAAGATGAGGCTGTGGGGACAGAGGCAGGGGGGCACGGCTCGGCGCGGGGTCAGGCTGGGCGGAGGGCGGCACTCCCACATGGCACCCCTCGCCGCCCCGGCCCCCAACCCGGCCCCACCTGTCCTTGGCCCCACACGGCGGGTTGCTGCACGTCTCCGCCGCCTTCTGCACGACCTGAGCGCGGTGCAGGTACAACGGGATCCACATGCCCAGGGCCCCTGTGGCGAAGGACACGGCCGACGTGGCCAGGGAGGAGAAGACGTAGCTGCGGCTGAGGAGAGGCCAGGGCAGCGACACTGAGCGGGGCCCCCGGGGCCGCCCTGCCCGCCCCCTCGGGCTCGGGCTGCGGGAGTTAATACCCACCAGGGGCCCAAGCGCCACTCTCAGCACCCAGGGCCGCCCCCCGCCCCGGCCCCGTTCCCGCCAGACCCCTCCCGGCAGCACCCACTTGCGGATCAGGGCCTTCATGTCGCGGAGCCATGACGTGTGCACCTTGAGCTGCCCCCCGAGCTGGTCGGCGTGGCCTCTCTTGGTGGCCGGGACCAGGATGAGGATGAGCGTGCCTGTGATCATGCCCACGATGGGGGACACCTGGTGGGGCAGGAGCACAAGGTAGGACCCCAGGCCCCGTCGGGGCTGAGCCGCCAGGAGCTCCCGACGGGCCGTCCAGAGCAGGGGGCGGGATGGGAGGGGACTGAACGATGGATGGAGGAGGGGGGACAGACAGACGAAGGACAAACAGACTGCTGGATGAGTTAATAGGTGGAAAACCAGAAAGATGGCTGGAAAGACAGACACACAGAGGGACCGACTCTGGAACCATGATGAGGAGGGGGCCTGCGGGGGGGGCCTGGCGGGCACGAAGCTTCCCGCCGATGATCAGGTAGGTCATGGCTTGGGAGGGGCCCATGTGGTGTCCCCTGAGTGCAGCCCAAGGTCGGGAACAGAGCCTCCGAGACACCAGCCCACCCCCACCCCCGCTGGAGAGCAGGGAGGCCCATCCCCCGCCCCCAAGAGGCCTGCGAGCCCATGGGCGGGGGAGTTCCTCTCCATGTGCCTCATCAAGAAATTCCACGGAGGCTGCTTCCTTCCTGCTTTTGAGGAAAAAACACTTTGTCTTAAGCTTCCGCTCCTCCGCGAGCCTGGGGATCTCTGTTTCCTCTGATTGCACTGTCCTGGGGCCTTGGCAGGCTCGCCTGAACCCTCCCTCAGGACAGGAAGGGGCTCCAGACCCCGGGGGTCCCCACGCAGAGGCCGCGTCTCGGCCTCCCCCTAGCACAGGCCCGGGCTGGAACAGGACGCACCATTGCAGACCTGGAACGTCCTGACAGCGGGAGGGCATCCCTCGTCCTGTCTGACCAGGCCCCTGAGGCCGCAGGACGACCGGGTCTGGCTCCCCAGCGCCCCCAGTACACTGATCTCGGGGGCAGAGGCCTGGAGGCTGAGGCTCTGAGTCTCTGGGGGACCCTGGGTGAGGGCTGGTCGGGGGTGTCCTTACCCGCAGGGCCCAGTGCCAGTCTCCGGCCGCCTGCTTGACGCTGGAGCCCGTGATGTAGCCCAGGCCACTGCCGAGGACACGGCGCAGGGAGTCAGGCCGCGCGCAGGGGCTGCTCACCAGGGTGGGAGGCAGGCCACCCCCCGCCACCCCCCTGCTGGCCACCGCGCGTTTGGGCCGCAGAGCGCCAACCTCAGGGAGAGGCGGTGGTGGGACATCTGCGGGGAGCCGGGGGGGAGCCTCACCTGCCCAGCGGGATGGCGAAGTAGAAGACCGAGAGCATGAGCGTGCGCGTGTTCTTGGTGAAGAGGTCGCCTATGATGGTGGGCGCGATGGTGGAGTAGCTGGCCTCACCAATGCCCACCAGGCCCCGGGACAGGACCAACAGCCAGAAGTGCTGCGGGACGGGCAGACGACGCGGGGCTCACCCTCGGCCCCCACGCCGCTGCCCAGCCCCCGCGGCCCGGCAGGGACTGACCCCGGGCCTCGGCGGATCTGGCCGGGATTCCCACAGGTGGACAGCTGCAGGCGTGGCCCAGACAGACCCCTCGGTGTCCCCACTGCCTCCCCCCAAGGGCAAGACCTCCTCCCCGGGCTCTGGCCCCACCTCGGGAGCCGCACGTCCCACCCCCCGCCCCCGCCCCCAGGCAGGGCAGCTGGGCTGACCCTGGCTGCACGGAGGGCCCTGTGTGCGTGAGGAGCGGGCAGGGCAGCTGGTGGGCTCTGCGACCCCCACCCCCACACACACATCAAAGAGCGAAGCCCAGCTGAGCCGGGAAGGGTGAGGCTGTTCTAGCTGCCAAGGGTCCTCCCCCTGTGATGTGGACCTGGCCCCTCCGTCCCCACAGCTGCCCAGGGCCTGAGAACCCAGCCTGGTCATCTTTCCCCGGCCCCACCCTGACCACCCATCCGGGCAGCTTCGCCCACACGCTGCCCTCCTCCAGGTCTCCCGCTTCCCTCTCGTCTCCATCTAGGCCCGCCCCCTGCATGGCCGGACTGCCCATCCAGCCCTGCGCCTCGCACCGTCTCTGTGACCCCCACCTCCTCACCTCAGCCCCTCTCTCTGGGGCTCAGCTGCCCACTGCCTTTGCCTACTGTGCTGTTGGCTGGCTGTCTTATCTTGATTTCTATGAGCTTTTTAGGTATCGTGGGTATTGACCCTTTACGACATATGTGACGAGCGCCGTTCGTCACCTTCCCTTCCACTTTGTTCATGGGGTCTGTCTGATCCGATGCTGTCCAGCCTGGTGATTTTCCCCTGATGGCCTCTGGATTGCACATCTTGCTCAGGAAGGCCTGCCCCCTCCCCAAATGATGACAATATTCCTTAATGCATCGTTTGCTAGGTCTTAGAAATTCCCTCATTCTCCTTGGTGTGAGAGCGCGTGGACAGTCCCACGCCTCCCCCAGGAGCCCGCTACATGGTGCGTCCCTTACGCCGTGGCCCCATAACGAGCAGCACTGTGTCCCCCGCATGCTTTCAAAACATGCACCCCAAAGGGACCATTCTGTGCCCTCTGCCCCACACCTTGCTTTGCCCTCATTCACGTGTTCCCGAAGCCCATTTATGCTGCTCGATGTAGATGCAGTTCATGCCCCGGCTGCCGAGAGTCTCACAGCGGAACGCACCTGTTTCTTCTGCGCATGCCCCCTCTTCTGCCACGAGACCATCACGAACGCCGTGGCACGCGTGCGCCCTGTCCGCGGGCTGGGGCTCCTCTCTGGGGAGCGCACCTCGCGGGGGGCGGCTGGGGCGCACGCACCGAGGCTTCTGCGGAATCCTGGCACTTCGCGCTCCAAAGAGGCCCCGCGGCCAAGTCACCACCTTTGATAACACTTGAATCGGCAGCCCTCCTAACTGTGGCCCATCCGATGGGTGCGAAATGGCACCTGCCGTTGCTTCGGTTTGACTTTCCCCAGCGGCTGGAGTCGAGCACCATCTCCTCCTGCACTTGCTGGGTTCACCACCCTTTGCCCACTTTCCTGCCGGGTTATTTGGCTTTTTCCTTGCGGATTTATAGTTCTAGATTCTTATACTTTGCTTTTTACTTCACTTTCACGTGTCTGGAACTGGGTTTGGACTACGGTTTATCTTTCATCCAGACGGACAGGCAAAGCTGCTGGAGCCGCCTGGGGCGCACCTGTCGCCCAACACCGGGCCCCGCGGAAGGGCTTCACGGTCAGCCCACTGTCGGGTTAGAACGGCGCTCCGTGAGGACCCACAGGGCGAGCCCCTTCCACGGGCATTTCCCCCATGTTCTTGGCTGTTGCTGGGCATTTCCTCTGCCAAATCAGCTTCAGAATCACACTGCCGAGGCCCAAGGAGAACGCGCGCGGAGCTGGGACTGTGAGTGCAGGGAGTCCACAGACTAACGGGAGGGGGCGGGGCGGGGGATCGTCTTTCTGCCTCCACCGGCCCGCCCGCATCCCCGGAGCCGCTGGCATCGCGGTCCTGGGCTTGCAGCTCCGTTCTGGAAGTGGCACCCAGGGTCAGAGGGCCAGGGGCCTGGCCAGTGGGAGGGCGAGGCCCAGAGGGCCCCAGAGGCGTCTGGTCCGGGCCCCATTTTTGACTGTGGCCTGAAGCCCACCCGGGCCTGATCCTCCTCCGTGAGGTTGTACCCAAATCTGCTGGTTCCTCTGCCCCTGCCTCCAGCCTCTCCCTGCTCCGTGTCACTCTGACTCACCCCTGCCCTCAGGAGGAAGACCAGACCCTCCAACCTGGCATTCGAGGCTCTCCGTGACCTGGTCCCCGCTTTCCTTTTGGGCCAAAACACTCTCCCCATTTGGGGACCCATTACTGCTTCCGTGGGTTTGCTCCCTCTGCCTATCCCACCCACCAAAAGGCCTCACCTCCCTGTCCTGCCTTCCCAGCGCAAAAGTCACCTCCTCCAGGAAGCCTTCCCTGCCTCCATAGATTTGAAGAGACTACTGTCTCTTCAGCGAGGACTCTCAGCACTTTGTACATCGTGAAGGCTGTGAGCATGGGGACTCCCATCCCGTCTTCCCACGCCCAGCCTGTGTGCCCCCAAGGACAGGCACAGGGTCTTCTCCTTTATGCCCAAGGCTGAAAGTGCTTGAAGACAGATCCTGGTCTTCTTCCTCCTCTGTCTCCCTCCACAGCAACCACCACGAGATCATCCTTCCTCAGCTTGAACACTCCTAGTGATGGGAACTCACTACCTCTCAAAGCAACAGGTCTCCCTTGTGGAAGAAAGAACAGAAACTATGATTTGTTCAATCTGCCATGTTCCAGGGTCTGGGCACAAGGAAACTTCAGGCTGAGAAGAATTCTTTCCGTTTCACAGATGCAGAAGCTGAGGCTCTCCAGATCACAAGACTGAGCGGACAACAGAGTCGGGACATTCAGACCCAGAACTGTGGGAGCCGAGGGAGAAACATCTTCCTTAAGTCGAGGTGATGCTTGCCGCCCTCGGACTCTGACCTGAGCAGTTCGCTGGTTATTGCACAAAGAGCAAACTGTGTACGGGGTGCCTGGCTGGCTCAGTCAATAGAACACACATCTCCTGACCTCGGGGTCATGCGTTCAAGCTCCACGTTAGGCACAGAGTTTACTTAAAAAAAAAAAAAAAAAAAAACCACCAGAAAAGAGCAAACTGTGCAAAGCGCAGAGAGCCATAGTGACTCAGCTGGGGTCACACAGCAAGATGATGGCAGAGCTAGGACTAGAACCAGAGGGCCCTGACTCCTAGACTGGACTGGTTCTGCTGTTCCTCCCCAAATCAGAGGCAGCTCAGAAAGAGGAGGCCACACAGGGCTGCAAGTCCCCCCAGCTCTGGTCAGCACAGGGGAAGGCCCTCCCTGTCTGCAGGGCCAGCTTATAAAAGTACCCGAGACACCTCATCCCACTGCACTTGGAAGACGCCGTCTGGGGCTCGAGCAAAGAGGATGGAACCCCAGGGTGGACGAAGACAGGTCAGTGAGAGTAGCCGGCACTGGAGGGAACAGGATGTGCGGAGGGATGTGCGGGGAGGAAGCCCGACAGGCCTCACCTGCTGGGGGATGAAGGAGCTGGAGAAGGTGACTGCAGACCAGAAGAAGATGCCGCAGCTGAGGATCACTTTCCTGTTGAAGCGGTCACCCAGGTAGCCGAAGATGGGGGCAGCCACCATGAAGCTGCAGATGAACACTGTGCAGGAAGGGGAGAGCGTGATGGGCGGCAGGGTCCCTGTGGCTGTGCCTAGTGGCCCACACCGCCCCGCCTGAGCCCAGGGGCCGGGGGACAACCTCGGCTGGGGCCAGGGGCCCGCACCGCCCTGCCTGAGCCCAGGGGCCAGGGGACAACCTCGGCTGCGCCCAGGGGCCCGCACCGCCCTGCCTGAGCCCAGGGGCC